TGTAGTGAACACATAGTGTAGTGAACACATGGTGTAGTGAACACATGGTGTACTGTTGTAGTGAATATGTGATGCAGTGAACACATGGTGTACTGTTGTAGTGAACACATAGTGTAGTGAACACATGGTGTACTGTTGTAGTGAACACATAGTGTAGTGAACACGTGGTGTAGTGAACACGTGGTGTAGTGAACACATAGTGTAGTGAACACATAGTGTAGTGAACACATGGTGTACTGTTGTAGTGAATATGTGGTGTAGTGAACACATGGTGTACTGTTGTAGTGAACACATAGTGGAGTGAACACATGGTGTACTGTTGTAGTGAACATGTGGTGTAGTGAACATGTGGTGTAGTGAACATGTGGTGTAGTGAACACATGGTGTACTGTTGTAGTGAACATGAGATGTACTGTTGTAGTGAACATGTGGTGTACTGTTGTAGTGAACATGTGGTGTACTGTTGTAGTGAACATGTGATGTACTGTTATAGTGAACATGTGGTGTACTGTTGTAGTGAACATGTGGTGTACTGTTATAGTGAACATGTGGTGTACTGTTGTAGTGAACATGTGGTGTACTGTTATAGTGAACATGTGGTGTAGTGGTGTAGTGAACATGTGGTGTACTGTTATAGTGAACATGTGGTGTAGTGGTGTAGTGAACATGTGGTGTACTGTTATAGTGAACATGTGGTGTACTGTTGTAGTGAACATGTGGTGTACTGTTATAGTGAACATGTGGTGTAGTGGTGTAGTGAACATGTGGTGTAGTGGTGTAGTGAACACATGGTGTAGTGAACACATAGTGTAGAGAACACATGGTGTAGTGAACATGTGGTGTACTGTTATAGTGAACATGTGGTGTAGTGGTGTAGTGAACATGTGGTGTAGTGGTGTAGTGAACATGTGGTGTACTGTTATAGTGAACATGTGGTGTACTGTTATAGTGAACATGTGGTGTAGTGAACATGTGTGTAGTGTGAACATGTGGTGTACTGTTATAGTGAACATGTGGTGTGTAGTGAACATGTGGTGTAGTGGTGTAGTGGTGTAGTGAACATGTGGTGTAGTGGTGTAGTGAACATGTCGTGTAGTGGTGTAGTGAACATGTGGTGTATTGTTATAGTGGACACATGGTGTACTGTTATAGTGAACATGTGGTGTAGTGGTGTAGTGAACATGTGGTGTAGTGGTGTAGTGAACACATGGTGTAGTGAACACATAGTGTAGAGAACACATGGTGTAGTGAACATGTGGTGTACTGTTATAGTGAACATGTGGTGTAGTGGTGTAGTGAACATGTGGTGTAGTGGTGTAGTGAACATGTGGTGTACTGTTATAGTGAACATGTGGTGTACTGTTATAGTGAACATGTGGTGTAGTGGTGTAGTGAACATGTGGTGTACTGTTATAGTGAACATGTGGTGTACTGTTGTAGTGAACATGTGGTGTATTGTTATAGTGGACACATGGTGTACTGTTGTAGTGAACACATGGTGTACTGTTGTAGTGAACATGTCGTGTAGTGGTGTAGTGAACATGTAGTGTATTGTTATAGTGAACATGTGGTGTAGTGGTGTAGTGAACATGTGGTGTAGTGGTGAAGTGAACTTGTGGTGTACTGTTTTAGTGAACATGTGGTGTAGTGGTGTAGTGAACATGTGGTGTAGTGGTGAAGTGAACATGTGGTGTACTGTTATAGTGAAAATGTGGTGTACTGTTGTAGTGAACATGTGGTGAACTTTTATAGTGAACACATGGTGTACTGTTGTAGTGAACATGTGGTGAACTTTTATAGTGAACATGTTGTGAACATGTGGTATAGTGGTGCAATAAACGTTAGCTGTGGGAGAGGACGATAGTTGTGGTATGCGTGGACGTTAGCTGTTGTAGTGGACGTTAGCTGTGGTGTGTGTGGACTTTAGCTGTTGTAGTGGATGTTAGCTGTGGTGTACGTGGACGTTAGCTGTGGTGTGCGTGGACGTTAGCTGTGGTGTGTGTCGACTTTAGCTGTTGTAGTGGACGTTAGCTGTGGTGTGTGTGGAGGTTAGCTGTGGTGTATGTGTGGACATGACGAAACTAACGGACTCCGTAAATATCTGGGAGAGGGAGTAAGAGGGAGTGAGTGGGAGGGAGTGGGAGAGGGAGTAAGAGGGAGTGAGTGGGAGTGGGAGGGAGGGAGTGGGAGAGGGAGTAAGATTCAGTGAGTGGGAGTGGGAGAGGGAGTAAGAGGGAGTGAGTGGGAGGGAGTGGGAGAGGAAGTAAGAGGGAGTGAGTGGGGTGAGAGGGAGTGAGAGGGGATGAGAGGGGTGAGAGGGAGGGAGTGGGTTGTGCATCACATGGGATAGCAGCAGTAATTGACTTATTATACTAAGTTGCATCTCTCTCTCTCTCTCTCTCCATGAAAAAACCCAACCTCAAAAACCCAACCTCAAAAACCCAACCTCAAAAACCCAGCCTCAAAAACCCAACCTCAAAAACCCAACCTCAAAAAACCCAACCTTAAAAAAATAAATAAAAACCTAACCTCAAAAAACCCAACCTCAAAAAACCAACCTCAAAAAACCCAACCTTCAAGAAAAACCACGACCTCCTTGAGAACGAGAGGTGGGGATGGGGGGAGGGGAGGTGCTGCTTGAGAGAGTGAG